TCAACTTTAGAACATTTTCAACACCTACCTGGAGTTCTTGACTTTACAAAGTAGATGGAGAAATTGGAGAAAGAGCAACCAAGATGATGAAAGGATTATAAAGTAGGAACTCCAAGAAAATGAGAGAAGCTAAAGGACTCTTGAACCGAAAGAAGGACGCTATGAAAAGACCTGGTACTTAAATTGAGAACTACCAAAAGAGGGGATTTGGCTTTTGTTCCCATTAAAGACAAAACACTAGGCTTGATTACAGCACAAAGGATTTAGGTAAAAACATGAGGGAATAAAAACACCCAACTTCCTGGCAATGTTTGAAAATTCCTGGGTTATGCTGCCCTTGGAAATGAGACCAACAAACAGTCATCACAGGGTAAGTTTTGAATAATGGGCCCTTCCAGTTTCATGGTGCTAGTAAAATAATGAGGCATCCTGTCAGGACTGGCAGAGTGCCTGCCCTTTCTGTGAGGTGGGGAAGTCATGCTGAACCTCCTTTACTGGGGAAAAGCTTCTAGCAGGCCCCTAACATGGTGGATGAATGACAGCTCTTTGACTAGGTGGATGGTGGTACCAAATAAGTTTCTGGTCAGATCAGCATCATAGTAGTAAACCAGAAAATATGAGTGGGCTATCAGAGGCCACAGATCTTCCTGATCCTGATTGGCTGATTACATTCACTCATTAAGGAAATTTTGAGCCTTCAGTATAGGTCAGGTGTCAGGCCCTGGAGATAAAGCAGTGGTTCTCCATCAGGGGTGACTTTGTTCTCCCCTCTAAGGGACACTTGGCAGTATCTGCAGAAATTTTTGATGTATCATGGGAAGAGGCCAAGGATACTGCTGAACATCCTGCAATGCATGAGACAGCCCTTCACAACAGAAAATCATCCAACCCCAAATGTCAATAGTGCCGTAGTTAGAAACCTGGAGATAAAGAAATAAGATTCAGTTCCTGCTCTCGAAGACTTCAGTCTGTTCACTGTGGTATTTCTTAATGCTGCCTGAAATGTGCCCTAATGAAAATATCTACATCTAAGAAAAATCTTCAAGTTCTTATCACAAGTAACCATACATAAACCCCCTGCCCCAATACCATTTGGGACGGAGCACAGTGGTGTCAATGTAATAAGGGTTCATTACATTCTTATTAATTACTTGGCTTGCCAAATCCTAGATTCAAAAACAGAGAGAGGACTGCTTTCAGGTGACCATTATCTTTATCAAATAACTTATCAGTTAATAGAATAAACATTAGCCGTTCATCTTCCTTAACTTGAATTTATCTATAACCTCGGCAGGGCATAGCCCAAAACCTCACTTTGTCTATAATTCCTCTGGTCTCCTAATAGTTACAAGTGGATTATTTACAATATTTTCTCTTTCTTTCTTTCTTTCTTTCTTTCTTTCTTTCTTTCTTTCTTTCTTTTTTTTTTTTTTTTTTTTTTTTTTTTTTTTGTTTTTTTTTTTTTTTGTTTTTGTTTTTACTGGTCTCGAACTCACAGCAATCCTCCTGCCTCAGCCTCCTGAGTGCTGGGATTACAGGCATGCACCAATTTACAATATTTTCAAAGTAATTCTTTCAAATAGTCATAGGTACTACTTAGTATAAAATTAACCAACATGTTAATTAAAATAAATGAACAAGCTATTAAAATGTAGGACCTCGGATACACCCTATTTTGTCTCTCTGTTGTGGGAGGTCAGTTATTTGACCTGGTGGAAGTGAGCTGTTGTGGAAAATGGCCCTTTTATTTAATGAGAGGTAAAGCCTGCCAGAATGACCTCTAACGCTTTTTTCCCCCTGCTGTTAAAGTTTTCAGCTTAGCAGCTTTTAAGTGTGGCTTTTAGAAGCTTGGCATCTCCACCCTTCGGCTTGAAATCTCCCTTTTACTATTGTGCCAAGTGTTTTCAGCCTTCCAGTTAACTGGAATGGTCTTCAAAATAATTGAAAAAGATCTATAATTCAGACTCTTCACTAATTTATATTGGTTTCTGCCCCCAAAGGGTCCAAATTCCTGTGGGTTCATTGGGTTTCAGACCCAATATTTAAGAATATCACAAAGTACATATTTTTGAGTTGTTGATGCTTTAAAACTGAAAGCAGAAAACTCTTTTGAGCCTCAATTTCCTCTCTTATAAAACAAAATCTAAATCCTTTCCTGCTCTGTTTTATTAATTATGCTCTTTGCAAAGATAACGAGCACACTAAAATTCTCTCAGTAATTGGGTTGGTGCCCTCCTCCCCGCTCTTTCCCTCTCCCTCTCGCTACATCCCTCTTCCTCTTCCTCAGTCTCCTTTCGTATCCTTTTTTCCTTCCATCTGTTTTGTTTGGCATTTTCATCATTGTAGACATTTTTCTCATGCTAAAAGTATGACAGTTTTGCCTTTGAATCTAAACCAACCTTTAACTACACTTTAGAATTTTCTACTCATTGGCAAGGACTTCCCTGTTTAGGCCAGTAAGTATATGTTCTTTAAATCCTTTTCCCTTCTAGATCAACTACTTTTTACTCTACCACAAGTTCACTACCCCCAAATATGTATCTTAATGATTTGTTCCAACTTTTATCATTCTGATCTGAAGCCAGCTGAAGCCATCTTGACAAGTCTGAGCAAATATCAACATTCTTGATGCCTAATCATATTTCCTAAAGAACCCTGAAAGGCTGATCTTAGACTAGTTGGCCCAAAATATCTGTAGGCTAGATGGGAAATTAATTCATGAAAATAAGCCTGATGGAAATCCTGCATGGCTGAAAGCTCAAAGTAGGTTACCTGGAGACAGTTGTGAGGGGTGGGGAGATAAAGTGACCAGAGCTTGCAGAATAAAGTAAAAAAAAAAAAAAATATATGGGGCTAGAGAGTTTGCCAGTGACCCACTTGGTATGCCCCTCAGGGTCATTTTCCTCAAACCAGGAACCACAGTTCCAGGCTGCTAGCCCTGAGGGTGATGTGAGTGGCTACAAACGTCTGCCTGGGGAAGGGGCATGGAATTAAACCTCCACAAACTCCAGGCTCATTTTGACCACAGCAATGGTCCTTTTCACTTTTCTTGATTCCCTGGCTTACATGTAGCTAAGCAGAGTTAGATTTCAGTTTCTATCAAAGATGGGAAGGAGGCAGGCAGAAGGTGTTGTTGCCTCAGTAGCAAAACCCTCATCCCTAACACAGTACTCTGGATGTAGCCTTCACACATCTCAAAAGCCTTGGTGAGGGTATGTGAGGAGGCCTAGTCCAGGAATCCATCGGGGCCTGGTGTTTGCCCCACACTGCCTGACAGCCAAGACTGCCTGTGGAGCCAGCCTTTCTCACCTAACCAGAGCTGCCATCTGCAGAGAGAAGGGCATCCCTGATACAACAAAGAGAAATTTGTGGTTTGAGGTTTATAAGGTAATTACAGGCTGCAAATGCTTTCCTTTCCGCTTGCATGTCACTCAGCTTTAAGCCGTTGATTCTAAAGGGCAAATTGCAAGTTTTGTTCCCTAAATCCACATAAGCAGCCCAATCCATTGTGAAGACACGGGCCCTACTGGCTGGGATAGAAAGGCTGACCAGCACAGCTTGGCAGCAGAAACTACTGCAAGCGTGCGAAAAGACAACAGGCGAACGGGAGATGCTAGTCTCTGGGCACCTTTGTGTTTGATTTGAAACTAGAATGCACGTGCCATGCTCAGGAAGCATGGCCAGAAACCTACACTGGGAAGAAAAATGGGAGAAAAAACCCCTGCACCATGGAGAAGCTGAAAAGATGGAGTCTGGCTGATGCTGGAGAATGAGATTAGTTAGCCTGACTTGAAACTGCTGCTTGGTTGCCCTTTGAAAAAGAAAATGGTCACACTTTGAAAAATAAATTTTAACAACGCAGAAAAGAGCATGAAAGAGAAAATCCACTCTGGGTGTGTGATACAGGACCAGCTAAAATTGTAACCCTATACACAGAGGGTCTGGTAATAAAAGAACAGTCTTGCAACTGCTTTTCCTCCTGTTCGTGTTCACGGTAACAGCTGGATATATACTAATTGCAAGAAGTGAAAGAGCTTTAAGGGTAAAGCAGGCGCACACTAATCAGTCTCTCGCCAGCAGTTTGATACACAAGTGCGATGTGCCACCTAGCAGGTCTATTTTAAATGCATGCTCATAGTTTCTCGCTTGTGTGGGTAGCTTTATGTCATCAGGGAAGAGCAACACTCTGTCCTCTCCCTCCAAGTGCATCACTTCCATCCATCAAGAAATAGCTTAGCCAGGGCTTCTTGGCCTCAGCACTACTGACATTTCTGGTCAGATCATCCTTTGTCTTGGGGGGCTGTCTTGTATATGACAGGATGTAGCAGCACCCCTGGTCTCTACCCAGTAGATGTTAGTAGGACTTCCTCCCCCAGTTGTGACACGTCAGGGAGGGGTACAATCACCCTCTTTCGAGAACCACTGGGTTAAACTAACAAAAAAATGAATTTTTCTTCTTTCCCTCATCCCATCCCCAAGGCTGGGAGTAATTATATCTAAATGTACCAGCTACCAACTTTCCTCGTATTCTGAGTCGCCTGCCGTCATACTTTTGACTTGCAAGATTTTCAATCATTGGGAACAATGCTCTTGTCACTCTTGAAAAGAAGGCCCTTCCCAGCTAAAGTCTGGGGTAGAGAAGAAGGGAAGCAAGTTCCTTTTTCTTTCAGATGCATGTTTTAGTTATGTAGAAGGTCCAGGTTTAGAAATTGACACATTCAAGTGTGAAATGGAAGGGGCCTGGAGTTCTTGAAACTCACCTCCCTGCTCCTTAAACCCCCAAAGCCTAGAAGGGGAAGCAACTTGCTCAAGGTTATACACATTCTTAATCTGCCTTTTATGCAGGCATAGGGCAATAGTCCCCACTCTAGTTGAAGAGCTTAGATCACTAGACACAGATAACTTACAACTCTTTACAAAGCAGGAGTTTTGGCCCAATCATGCCAGTTAAGGAATGCACATTTTATAAATGACAGAATACTGCAACCAATTAGTGCAAACAAACATTTATTGTGAAATATTTATCCTACCCTTTATTAGGTATTACATCATCAAAGCACTTTGTGGCAATGAAAATAGCTTTTTTACCCCTCTGATTCACCCAATATTCCATTAAAGCTGCAAAAAATGTGCAATCTGCTTGAAAAATAGGTTGCTCTTATTTACTCCTTTGTGAAAAGTCAAAAATTAAAAAAGAAAACGATACTAGCTTACAGGGCCTCTAGAGCCAATTCACTTTTCCATTTCCCATCTACTTCCCCAAATAATTAACAAAGATAATTTGTTTTAAATGCCTTTTTAAAAAACCAATGCACCTTTCCCCATGTTATAATCATAAAAATTTTAAAAAGCCATTATTTACTTTCTTGGAAAAAAGGTGGCCAGCCTTTGTTTTTTGATTGGGAGCATGTGTATTTCCTGGGAGTTCACTTTCTTTAACTTTATGCTCCGGTTTTTGATGGGTTTCCTAAGGGGCTCCGCATTTCCCATGGAGTCTTCTCCTTGGCTGTTGATGTCGTAGCCCTGAAGCACAGAGTCTTCTCTTTTGAAGGAGAAGTTTTTGGTGGATACCCCCGAGAGGCCTTTGATCTTTCCACAGAAGATGGTAGGCACAGCATCTTCAACCGAAACGATGACCTTAGCTGCCTGGGACTCGCTGCCAATCTCGATGTTATTCTCAGCCTTGACCTCGCTGCTGGGCTGGCTGGGCTGGCTGACCATCTCAGCAGTACTGCTGCTGCCCATGTGGCTATCCAGCAGGGCAGAGGCCTCGCGGGGCGCACCAGGGGTAAAGGGCACTTCTGTGCCACTGGGAAGTTTCTCCATCACGGTCTGACCTGGGCTGTGCCCTGACTCAGTGTTGTCATACGGTGTCTCAGGGGGAGGCTCAGACTTCCGGTGGGTTGCCAGTGACAGGTCTAGGGCTGCATCTTCCTGGAAGATTGGCAGATTGACCTCACCAGCCTTGAGCCAGGGCACTGACTTCATGGAAAGATCCAGAGCCTCATTCTCACTCCCCATCTTGATGACCGTGTGGCGGCTGAGTTGGAAATACTCCCTCGGTTGGAGGATATCTAAGGGCTTTAGTTCATCCTTTTCCAGAGGGGTCTGGGTCCCCTTAAAAGAGTGCAGGTTGAAGGAAGATGGTGGCTTGGGGAAACTGGGACTGAACTTGGATTCAGAACTCTGAGGCACTGGGATGGGGATGGGGATGGGCACTGGCACTGGTAAGGGGACGATCACAGGGTAGGGCACCAAGAGGGTGGCTGGTGGGACCAGGGGGGACAAGGGGGAGTTAAAGGGCTGTGGTGGCACTGGGGCATAGCTAGGAGGAGGCTGACAGGGTGGGGGACCGAGAGAGCCCTGGGAGGGGAACAAATTCTGGAGCACAGCTTCAAATGGCAATGTGGGCTCCTGCGGCTGGCTGGGGATCCTCAGGTCCAGGAGCTGGGGCTGGGCCTCGGAGTCCTCGGCCCCCTGGAAGAGGTTGTTGTGGATGGCATTGGAGGAGCATGGGGCCTCCTGTGGCAGGACCAGAGGGGAATTGAGGTGCTGGAACACGTGCTGCTCCAGCACCACAGGCAGCTGCACAGGGCCCTGCGTGGTCATGACGTAGGTGGCATTACCATTGGGGTTGAGCTCTGGTGCCGAGCTCCCCTCCACCTGCATGTGAATGGGCATTACCACTGGACTCTCCCCGAGACACAGGGGCTGCAGCACGGTAGCTGCCACTTTTAGAGCCATGCCACTCTGGGACTCAGAAGGGGGATTCAGAATGGATGGGGCTGGCACGGTCACCAGGGCCTTCTTGACCAAGTCGGTGGAGTTGATGTTCCAGGCCTCTGTGGTGATCAGCTGGGCCATGCTGTTCTCCAGTCTGTTATTGGCCAAGGTGGGAGGGGACTCAGTCATGTCCATGGAGAGGTTCTGGGACTGCAGGTCGTCCATCACTTGGCTCTGATGCCACTTGGCCTATAACACAGAACACACGACATCAATCTTCCTTAAGAGACTATTTATAATTGCATTAAGAGCTCTTTCCACATCTTTAAAAAGTTTCCATATCTTAGTTAAGCGGGAAGCATAACCCAGCTCCCCATGCATAAATATACATTATAGATATTTCCTAATAAACATGAACACACCCATGTGGTCAGCTGTACTTGGAGAGCCACAATTTAACAGACAATTAGGCTCTAAACACAGATGATGTAATCTCTAAGTAGCCAAGTGATGTTAAACAGGGTATTTCTAAGCCTAATACTCAGCTTAAATGTTTATCTTTCAACAGAGACCAAGTTTCATTCCACATTGCTATGTCAGACAGATATGCAAAGACTTGACGTGTTCAAATTCAAATAAGGAGCTAAAAACTTACTTTCCCTTAAGGGAAAATAAAACCTTCTCACATTTGAATATTCTATGAATATGGAAAGGAGCACTAAAAAATTCTTTGTAGCAATAATTATGGAATTATTTAAAAATTATGGAAATTTTCAGAAAGTCAAAAACTGTAGCAATATTCTTCCAACAGTGGTTTGATGAGCAGAAGAACAGCGCCTTTACACAAGGGTTGTTACAGTTGTCTGGCTGCTTCCCTCTGACCAGTGCTATCTGTTTTCCTCCTGATAACAGGAAAATCCATTCCTTGGAGCAAGACGAAGATAGGATGGCTTGCATGAATGGCCATCAGGTCCAGTTTCACTTTCTGAATCGGCTCATCTGTGTGACTTGTGACCTCTCGTAACATCTACCTACCAAGAGGAGGGGATGTTGATGAGTCTAGGGCTGGGTGGAAAAATGGAATGCTTGTTGGAAACTAAATTCTCAAAGGTGAGAAATGTTTTGCTGCTGTCCATGGAACCTCATGAAGGTCCCTGGTGACCTCCTGAGAGGCCAAAGGAACCCAGCGCGTGTGCTTCCTGGAGGAAGCAGGGCTGCAGCTGCGATATGACTCTCCATGGAAACACGTCCATATTTAGCCTTGTTACCATGGAGAAGGCAGGCACCATGTCTAACCCAGGGATCTGTGCAGGGCTGGAGTCTTGTTGGGCTCAATAATAATTCAATAATCTTCAGTTTCACTGGGCAGGCCTGGGGCAACTCAGATTCTTGATCTCACCTGTCTCAGCTGTGTAGACTTTAGTCCTGCGGTCATCTTGTCTTCCTCTCCTCTCCCCCAAAGTACCAACACAATCACCCAAGCAAGAAAGAGAGGTAGCCCAGCATAGCATGGGTTTAAAAATAAGCAAATAATATCTCACTATAAGAAAGCAGCTTTAACAAATGAACAACTCTGATATTTCCAGGCAATCAAAATGTGTCAAATGCAATGAACAAGGAATTTCTCTGAGGCAGGAGGAGGGGAGGGAGAGGGGAAGGATACTGTGCAAACAACTTTGTGGAGAGTGACTGGCGGGCCTTGTTCTTGGCAGGGCACACTGCAGTGCCTCCAAAAGAGCCTGTCTCCTTATGGGAAGTGTGCCCTTTGGAAACCACATGATGACCCGGTATGCTGGGCAGTAATCCCCTTAGGGCAGAGCTGGGGGGCAGCCTGGCCCCAGAGAGGCTGAGAGGGCTTGCCCCAGCTGAAGGGCTTGGTTCTTCATGAGATGAGTGTGCTTTGATTCACCTCAGAAAACACCGTGCCTCCAATACATTATTCATCCACACATGTGTGCATTCATTCACTCATCCAACCAAGTCATTTGCCAAATGTCCACTGCATGCCAGCACTTTGCTGAGGGCTAGAGTTGAAGTGATGAGTGACAGAGACAAAGTTCCAGCTTTCATGGCGATTTAGAGTCTGGTGAAGGCATGCGTCTTTGATCAGACAGCAGTGTGCTAGCATGAGAAGGCATAAGAGAAGCCGGGAGAGGCAGCAACAGCAGCAGGACACCTCTTGGTGGCACTTGCATGCAGCCTTGTAAAGGCCTGTAGGACAAAGGAGTCTTCTACAAGGTTCTGACCTGTCCCTCATTGTGGCCATTCTAAAAAATGATGAGAAAAAGCAGAAGGGAAGCTGAGGTGGGACCAAAGAGGAAAAGAACAGCAATAGTCAGAGAAGATACCCGTGACTACCCATCCAAGGTGAATTGTATGGCAACCCAGCAGAAGTCAAGACGTGCTCTGTTTCATCTTCAGGCTTCCTGCATGATTAAGATTATTCAACTGTGTGACTGCTTGCTCATGATGGTTACATCTGTCTGCCCTTCCAGAAATGGCAGCTTCCCTCTCTCCCTGACTGCTTTGCTCACCCCCCTTCCAAGGGAGAGAAGGAAAACTTCTGGGCGTCTCCTCCACCTGTTCCTCACACACACCTTTCAGCTTAGGTGCCAGCTCGCATTGGTTCCTGAGAAACCTCACTCTTCTTCCTGCCTGGCCCTGATCTAGGACTGCTAACTCCCCAGAACCTCCTCAGGTGTGAGGACAGGACCCTGCCAGGGTGAGGAGGCCATAGGCCTCTGCTCCGCCCACAGATGTCAAGAGCTGAAACTCGGGCTTTCTTCTGAGAACTCCCTATGCACTACCTCATTCAGTCCTCAGAATGACCCTACCCCAGCGACCTAGAATTATGTCCATTTCGTTGAGGGAGAAACTAATTCCACAGGGAAATTAAATAACTAGCTTAAAGGTGCACTGAAGCTAGGAGTAGAGTTCAAGGCCAACCCTAGGCTCCGTTTCCCTCGTGGGACCTGTGGGGACTACACCTCTCCTTGTATTTTGTTTCCTGGCAAAAGCGGTTCCCCCAGCCTCCCCTTCTATATGGAATGCATATGCCCACAGAGGCCTGCAAGAAAGAACACTTGAGTGCAAGATTTCTTCAAAGTGGATGCCAGGTCCTTTCCACTAAATTCATGGCAATGTTGATCATTCTTTTTCCTCTACCACGAGTCTCATCAGTCCCGTCGTCACTGCAGGTAGAGGGGAACAGTATGCAATGCCTCAGGAGCAAAGGGAAAGGAAGTCTCATAAAGAAGGGAAAGAAAAAAGTGATGAGAAAAGATGGAGAAAAAACGAAAACAGTCTTTATAAATAGGGAGGGGTGGAGGGGTTGAAGAGAGGGCAGGGGAAAAAGAAGAACCAAGATATATCATGTACAGGTACAAATTCCCAATGATGAGTGTCATCATAATGTATCCTTAAAATGCACCAATAAACTTAATATGAGAAAAAAAGGAAAGGAAGCCTCTCTCCAAAAAATCCCTTCCATATCTTCCAACCTAATAGCCCCTGGCCAAAGGTGTTCCCTTCCCTGGAGGACCACTGGCCATGGGTACAGGCTTGTGAGCACCTCATCCCTACCAGGTACAGTGCTGTCCACAGCAGTAGCTAGATGAGGAAATGTGATCTCTGCTTCCATTATGCACCCTTCCACCTCCCAGAAAGCCTCTTTCCTTCTTCCTCTCAGCACCCCATCTCCTCAGTGTTCAACCTTCCAGCAGGCATCCCCCCTCCAACTCTGAGTCTGCAGCCAAGGGGGTCTGCGCATATAGTGCGGGTGCTGTGGGCATTGCTGTTGCAGGAGCTGCTACCCAACGTCTCAGCTACGCTTGGAGAATAAAAATCAGCTCATGAATTGATGGTTCAAAGGGCAAGTCTCTCTCCCTGAGGATGAGCCGAGAAGCCAGCTAATGACTAGAGAGAAGGCAGAGGCCCATCCTCCCTGCTCAGCCAAGCTACTGATTAGTGTGGGCAGGGGTAGGCTGAGGGCCTCTTCGGATCAAGGAGCATTGCAGGAGCCACAGACGAATGCTCAAGCACATGGAGTGTGATCCTCTTCAGAGATGTAAGAAACATTTTGAGTTTTGCAAAACATGATTTGGAATGGGTTTAAATGCAGTCTCCCATCCATTCCTCTTGTGCCTCTTATCACTAGGTGTGGGGTTGGAGTCAGTAAATAATGGCAGTGTTGGTGATCTGGCTCTGTAGGTTGTTGGAGATCTTTAATCTCTTCGCACTCAGCCAGTTGCTAGGACTTTGCTCCAGTGTATCCCACAGGCCCCCCAGATGGAGACTTTGGAGAAAAGCCTCAGGGTCTAGGGTAGATGTGAAGTAGGGAAGGGATGTCTGGGATAGGAGACTTGAGGGCTCACAAAATTATTCTCCAAACTTCTCATACAAGTACTGCAAAGATCTAATTACACCAGAGGCTCACTCTTCCTAGGGTCTGCCCCTCAGCCTGGAGCCCTGTCTAGCCTCTGTCTTCACCTAGCCAACTGGCAGACTTTGGGGTTTCAGCCCCAAAGTTGCTTCCTCTGGGATCTTCCCCCACTGTTACTGAGCTCCCACAGGACCCCAACTTGACCTTATCTAGCCTGACCACCCCCATATTCTATAGGCTGATATGGTTTGGGTCTAGATGTCCTCCCAAAGCCTCCCAAAGCCTAAGTTTTAGATGAGGCTTTTTCAGAGGTGGCTGGATCTACAGTGTGTGACTGATTCATAGTGCAATGCTGGGATTAAGGGTGGGTGATTACTAAATCAGCCCCCTGATTGTTTTGGCACCGCCCTAATCCCGGGAGCCTGGATAGAGTAAGAAAAGCAGGGGGACAGAAAGAAGCTGGACAGGTCTCTTGTTGCTTTTGCTAAAGTGTGGGTGCCATGAACTGCTGTTCTCCTCTGAGACGCCCCTCTGCCATGTGCCACTGTGTTAGAGCCAGCCTACTATGGGCTGAAAGCTCTACAAACGGCAAGCTAAATAAACCTTTAACTCCTTTAACTTTGGGTGTTGAATATTTTGTGTCAGTCAGAAAAGAAAAGTAACTAAGACACAGGTGCTTAGGAAATCTTTTCTAGATGAATTGTTGCATGAATGAATATAAGAGCCTCCCTGAGCTGCTATTTTCATCCTTATCCTCTAGGCATTGCTGACTATAAAGATGGCCACAAGGACCCCATTCCAAAACTTCAAGCATCTCTAAGCAAACACTTTAGGAGGGGTTATCTCAGTGCGGAGGGCAGGTGGGAGA